AAGGGAACCCGGTGCCTGGCTTTCTAACTGGGCCACCCTGTCTCTGGGGGGACATAAATGCAGAGAGCTGATCCTCCAAGTTCGGTGTTGGACGCAAGGCTGACGACCTTGTTCTGTGAAAAATAAAAATACTGTCGCGAAATCCAAAGAAGTGAAAACCGAATGGGCTGCAGACAAATCTGTAAGGAAGGTCATGACCTAAAAACTGGGGACTGTTTTGTCAATGATGATATAACTTATTACATGTTTCGGCCCCATTCGGCCATCATCAGGTGTATGCACTCGTGCTAAAATTGTTGCACTGTCATCTCAGTATTTCACGTGTGAACGCGTTTGTCATTCTTAATTTTAAAATCTTTAAAATATTTAAAAGTTCACAAAATTGCTGATTCAGCCTCGCTGCATCTGGTTACAAACTGTGGGATTTTTCTATTATATGTAATAATTGTGCTGTATCAATAATTTTATATACTTTGTTCACGTAATCTGCATTTTACATGTAACACAAATGGGGGAGAAGAGGAATGCATATAGGATATTGGTGGGAAAGTCAGAAGGAAAGAGACCACTAGGAAGACCAAGACGTAGGTGGGTGGACAATATTAAATAGATCGTAGAGAGATACGATGGTATGGATTGGATTGATCTGGCTCAGGATAGGGACCAGTGGACGGCTCATGTGAACACGGTAATGAAAATTTGGGTTCCACAAAATACTCGGCATTCCTTGACTAAAGCTATTTTCATGGAGTCATGAGTTTGCAAAAATTGTTTTAATAATTTTTTCCGATGGCTTTAGACGTAAGAGAGGAAATACCTATCATATGTACTGCATTCGTCAGACACCGAAGAAAGGAATTGGAGTACAATGAGAAAGTTCATGAGCTATTCGTATACTTCAGTAACGCCTATGATTCAGTTAGGAGGGAAGTATTTTACAAAATTCTGATAGACTTTGGGATATACAGGAAACCAGTGAGACCCATTAAAATGTGTTTAAAAGAAACATGTGGTAAAGTCCGTATAGGTAAACATTTGTTTTATAACTTTCCTATTCACAATGGTCTAAGACAAAGAGATGCTTTATCGCCACTGCTTTTAACGTCCTTTTAGAATATGCCATTAGGAAGTTCTAATGAAACCAGCTGGAGCCGAAATTCAAGGGGCCATATCATTTTCTGGACTATGTACACGATGTATACCTATTGAGGGATAATACAAATACCATAAAAACACAAAAGCTGTAACTGACGTTAGTAGGGAAGATGGTCTGTAAGTAAACACACAAAAAACTAAGTACATGTTGATTTCTCGTCACCAGAATACGAGGCAAAATTACGACATAAATATTGCTAACAGAACTTTCCAAAATGTGGCAATGTTCAAATATTTGGGAATGACAATAACATACAAAACTTTTATTAATGAGGAAATTAAGAGCAAATTAAATTCCGGCATTGTTTGATAGAATTTATTTAAGAACATTTTACTAAAAAACTATTTTGTTTCTGGATATTATCAATCGTAATGTTTTTATTTAAATTATAATGTTTCGAAGACTGGATCTGTCTCCTTCCTCAGGTGGATGGGGAAAGATAGACATACTCAGTTGGGCCCGTTAGAAAGAGCTAGTCTCAATCCCTCTTTCTGACGGGTCCAACTGAGTAGGTCTATCTTTCCCCATCCACCTGAGGACGGAGACAGATCCGGCCTCCGAAACATTTTGTTTTTTTCTCTTATATATACCAGACGATGGCTAGAGTAAAAAATAAGCCTTATAGTTTTGTACAGCATATACCATCGTCAGAATCCTTTCAAGTCTATCTCTGTAGTTAGTCCGTTATCCGTACTCGCGACCCAGTAGAGTCACATGCGACTCGAGAACCACATTTTGCAATGTCTACTATATGCTGAAGCAGTTGTACTCAGGGCGTGTACATGTCTACTTGGGCATTAATGAATCCTCTCCTGGCATAACAAATGTCCGTGTTTACTGACTGCACAATTCTGTTTGCGAGGATAATCCAGCCATCTTCACGCCCTTGTTCTAACCCATTACTGCACAATAAATTCGTAACGATGCGTGGTGAGGTTATGGTTGCATGCTGCCCCGACAGAGGCGCTGCAAGCTGAAGGTGTCATTAATCTGATGGCAGGTGAATTTGCAAACAAGTCTCTCTGTTGTCACATATCACTGTCACGAAAATTGTTTATTCAGAGTTTCTTGCAGCCGGGATAGCTCAGTCGGTACTGGGACTGGCTAAGGGACGATGAGTTGGAGTTCGAATCCTGGTATGTGTAAGATTTCTCTCCTCTCGAAATCGTCCAGACGGGTTCTGGGGTTCACCCAACCTCTTGTCCAGTGGGTACCGGGGGCTCTTTCTAAGGGAGTGAAGCTGACCACTCACCTCCAACTATTGCCGAGGTCAAGAAATTGTGGGTCTATACATCCACTCCCTCATACGTCTTCATGGCGTAGTGCTTAATTAGTTAAGTGCAGGGACAATTTTACCTACCTTTACTTTGTTAGAATTCATAGGATGCTATGACGGAATTGTGAGCACGTGACGCGAAGCCCCTGCCATATATACTTAAACCGTTACCGCTAGACAAGTCTTTTCCATGTTCTAGATTTGTATGAGGCAGCTACCGCCGAAACACCTGCTATTTTAACTAAGTTTTCGTGTTTTTCTTCAGTCCCTGAAAGCAAATGCCTAGATACTACCCCGAATAAGCCACGACCGGCTTCTTCCTCTTCCTTTTTCAATTCACCATTGATCTATAATCTTACCATGTCACGGTATACTGTCCGATTGGTGCCAGCGTCTTCAAATTACAACTCATACAAAAGTTCTGGGAAGAACTAATGGAGTACTTCTCTTTGACACGACACGGATAGCACAGAAATCGGAAAAAAAGTAAGGTATATACACAGACACAGACAGCACGGTGATCTCATAAGCCTCTTTTTATTTTTCCAAAATAAGGGGCTGGTGAAGGTAGTCGATACTTTAGACGACTGTGGAAAACCAAGAAGCGTTACCGCTGCGATAAGCTGCTAAGTTAGTGGAATTGGAGGAGACGTAAATAATTTTTTTATTTTTTTTAAATTCGCTTAGTGGGGGGGGGTGGAGTCCAGCGGGGTCCACTCGGCACGGCGGCCACTGATTGGCCTATTGTAGCCTGCCCCAGGTGATTATGATGATGGAGAATTTGGTGGAATGAAGATTGGCAGGGGAAACCGAAGTAATCGGAGAAAACCCGCCCCAGCGCCACTTTGTCCACCACAAATCCCACTTGACCAGACCCGGGATCAAACCGGGGCCGCCGCGGTTGGAAGCCAGCGACTAACCGCTTGAGCTATGGCGCGGCAAAAAACAAACAGTGAAATTGGAGGTGATGTAAATGAAGCGAGAGTAATGAAAAGTGAGGGCAGAGAGGAGGAAAATTCATGCCAGAAAATAAAAACTGTGAAGGATCGCAACCCTGACCTGTACCACGAACAGAGATGTTATGCTTGTTATCAGAGCCTTGCTAAACACAGTTCATAAGAGCGCATGGCACACAGTTACGTCACTGCTCAGTTTAGCAGGAGACAGCTAACTGCCCCCAGGACAACAAAACACGGTGTAATACTTGTTCAGTCATAGGCAGTAATTAATGATGCATCTCACTTGAAGATGGGTCGTAACACCCACCTTCTGCTAACACACAGCACCAGGAAGAGCACACGACCCGAAACTAGAGCTCAGTCGGTAATGCAGACCACGGGCTCGACTAACAGAAGATCGTGGTTCAATTCTCGGCTGGTATAGAGGTTTCTCTCTTGTTCACCGCGTCCATATGGAATCTGAGGCCTACCCATCTTCCTAGTCAATGGGGGTAATACAATAAGCCCTCACTAATCCGGTTTAATCGAGGGAGAGATCATCTGGATTAAGAAAGCAAAGTTAAAAAACAATTAAATAAAATATGTAATAATATAAATTGTGCTGATGAAAATAAATACAGAAATATCACTGTAGAGTCTTCATTTAAAACTATAAAAATACAAGAATCTAAAATCCAGGGTCTCCTTCATCCAGCTGAAGTCAATCTTTTATATTTTCTTGCGTGGTTTCAGTCTCCCCAGCAACACAACCTGAAAGTCCTCTAGCTCTAATCCCTATGTACTCAACCATGAAGAGAACTTTTAATTATGATATTTCGATCCGGATTGGCGAAGATTTACGGTATATACTGTGATGTGCTATATGACGGCCATTGCTGCGCAACGGCTGTAATGGGAACACATAGTTCCGCGACGGAGAGTACATGGAAACTGTTGAGTTCTCACAGCGACAAATTGAATAACAACAATTGCGTATGAATATCCATGGCAACGAATTGTTGAAACGGCGGGAATAATACATTTCCGCGGTAACAAGCACAGAACACGTGAAATCGAACAGTGGGAGAAGGTGCTCTCTATTACGTTCGAACGCACGATATATCAGTCCAACGTCGGCCAGTTTGTATTCGACTCTAGTAGAAAAGAGTTCCTCGACAAGGGATCAAGACACTTGACCGAGGATAGAGGTGCAAGTAATTATAACAGCGAAAAAGAACCGTTTGCAGACGGTATAGGTGATCATAATTGTACTTGCCTGTGTAAAAGCGAGTGTTCAATAAATATTCGCTAAATCCGAGACCTGGGTGAATTTATTTGTCTCGTTATATAGACAACACGCGACAATATATACAGTGTGTTCCAGAATAGTATACCCAGAACGCTCTTTGGGCAGTAATGGTACATATTCTGAATATTTCCCATCAAGCCCATCTTGACGACATTTCTATACCACCCGTTCTACTTGATATCTACTCTTCTGTTAATAATCTGCTGCAAATAAAAATGACAGGACAACAAATATGGCCACATTCTCATACCGCACATGTGTGGGGAGCTATTAGACTCATACTTCGGTTGTGATGTCACTTTATCACATAATGGAACTCACCTCCTGGTGGAGGCGACGTCACCACGCTCCACAGCAAGCAGAAACTTCTTTTCGTCCAACGATAGCTGTGCCATCTCTTGGTGGGGGCGGATAACATTCTCCTCCTCCATCATTCCATGGATACTATGTCTCTGAGAAAAAAACAAGGGAAGAACAATAACTATATAGATCAACAAATTTTAATAACTTCAAGTATCAGCTCATTTTCAGTCAAAAACTTTCATTCAAGATCGATTAGTGTCTTGCAGCTGCACAACTGGGGGCTTCTCAAGAAGGGCTCAGCGCCATATTTATTTACTTAGTTATACCTGCGTTTCCTTCTCTCATTTCGCATTTCTTTACGTTCGCTGTATCAGTTTTTTAAACTAAAAAATAGAAATCGAGAATTTCCGGCTGGAACTTTGCTTCAGTAATGAAAATGTGCATTGGACCATGAACATGCAACTTCTTCTAAAATGGGCCATAATAGACCATGGGGGGGGGGAATTCTACAGAGATCGATTATTTGTGGAGGAAATCATGTGGTTAGAGGCTCCTTCGGTAGACGCAAACTTAACTTTACATCGGTCAACAACGACACAATGGAAACCTTGCTTAAACTGTCTTTACGAGATAAAAGGGCTATTCCGAAAGTAAATTCCAGTGAACTGTTAAGAAAACAAGCAAGGAGAGGAAAAAATTATTATATAAAAAATACGTTCATATTTAAGCTACTTCTTAACGTGGAGACTGCCGCAACTGAGGCACATGTATCGTTGAATAAGCACCTGTTTGTCTATGTTAAAAAAAGTCCGCGGCCTATGAACTCAGGCACGTTTTGACACATTCCATAAACTCCTCATTATGGCTGAAGCGCTGTAATCTCAACCAGTTCTAGCGGTAGGCAGTGGTAAGTGACAGTCGCTCGGAGCGAGATCAGGGTTATAAGAAGCGGGGTGGTCAAACAACTCCCAGACGAAATGTTTAAGCAGCATTCGAGTGTGAGCAGCTCTATGCTTTCGCGCATTGAGCGCTACACCGATGTCGGCATTCAACACCTTTTGTTCTGAATGGCCTTATACAGTTCTTTAGTGCTTTGCAATACATTTATGACTTTACATCGTACTGTGGTCCCTTACTGCATGAATTCCACCACCATTAACAGTCTTTTCCTGTGCCAGAAAACAGTAGCCATTATCTTCCTGGCAGACACTTTCAGTTGAAATGTCGCAGTTTGCGCGGCTTCAATTATGCGATATAAAACATATTCATAAAGTCTCACTTTACGCGCAAAGATTGAAATAATGTGAATCCCCCCAAAATTCAGTAAGAATCACGAGACTTGTCTTGGATTATGCGAAGTCTTCAGGAACGCATCCTCACATAAAATTCGTCTGCACTGTACTGTTCCGGACGCCATGTTGTCGCCCCTTCAGTGAGGCGTGACGTACGGGCAGCCTCTGTTACAGGGTAGAGGTTCGCTGGCTGTCAGTCCCCCGAGGGGCCAACATACTTAACTACAAGGTTCAACAGAGTTGTGTCCCTGAAGGCTTGTACATTTTGTCGAGTCTTGGAACTTTCTTTCAAAGGCGGAAATTCAGTTATTTTCTAACAGATGAATTGTCCGCGCATGAGCAATATGGACTGCGCACTGCACTCTAACTGGTGCAAAGGACTTGCCTCAGAGTCATTTTCCAGAGTTACCACTTTGATAACCTCAAATATCACATGCTTGCTTCGTGCTTTCCGCGAAGATAGAGGTAATATACTCCTCCTAAACGTCTGTACACACGATGTGACATTCTAGAAGATAGCACGGCTGTGATAACCTCGTATATCGAATGCTTCTTTCTTGATTTTTTTTCGAACTGAAGAAGGACAAGTATATTCCTCCGAAAATAAACTGTTTACCGGACTACACGGCGTCATATTCCAGAAAATACTCTTCGCAGTCATTGCAGTGATGGCTTCAAGTTTAACAAGGAGAAATATGATTGAAGCTGTGTAAGATTTGAGGTTTTTACGGCGGTGACTATGAAGGAAGCAGTCTTCTGGGATTTGGCACCGTGTAGATGTGGTGTTAACCGACGTTTCGGAAGAATGTATCGCCTCCATCTTCCTTCTACCCTGAAGACGGAGGCGATACATTCCGCCGAAACGTCGGTTAACACCACATCCACACGGTGCCACATCCCAGAAAACTGCTTTCTTCATGGTTGAAGCTGTTTGCATGGATGGATGGAATTTTGAATAGATTACAGAACCCATAAAAGACGAGACTCACTCTGGGGTTGCACTTCATTGGCACGAGAAACAGTCTCTGCTCCTGACTGATGTCTGAGCTTATGTAGTATCAGCTTCAGGGATTATGGGCGCCTTCCGATATAACAAAAAGCCCATCTGACCAGATTCGATACGATGCTCTTCCCACTTAAGCCAAGTTTCCAATGTTCAGTAACACGAATAGCACTAAAAGTTAAGAGCGGTCGCCATGCTTACCGTATTCAGTACGAAACAGTATAATATACCGATACAAGCCAAAAATTCGCGGGTACGATCATGGAAAGGCTTTACGTGTTGTTTAACATGTAAATATTTTATATATGGATTCACTTTAATAGCCAAGTGTACAAAACCCAGTACGTCTCAAATAAATGATCGATGAATATTAAAGTAAACGTATAAACGGGAATAAATTTAATTTTAATTAAAACGAAAATTGGTAAGGATGCACCCCAAATTTGCTAAGCCCATCATCTGCTCGCTGTTTACTTGTTGTGACGCTTAATGAATTTGTTCGTTCTGGTGATACTTCGTAAAGAACTTGCTGTCATGACGTCTGACAAACAACGCGTGAAGACGTCATAAGTAATTCGATTTACGGATGGAGAGCAAGAAGGGCTCACAGCACCTCGCACACTGCCTGTCATTGTCAGTGACAAAGCGATGGGCGAGCTTTGCTGCCGTGCAACACTTCCCTGTAGCTGTACCTGCTGGGCTGGATCAATAAGATCTAGGAGCCGTTTATCTTCTTGGTGATGATAACCTCTATCAGCAAAAATACGCGAACAGTGTTGGAGCAGCGGTCGAGTTCTATAACCGTACTCTGAACGTCTTAATAACACAGTACTAAACACTTACCGAATATTAAGTTTCCCGATGAGGTCATTAGATTTCTCAGTTGAGCTAATCCTTCCAGCCACAGTATGGCTCTGGGGTCGACTCAGACTTTAGCAGAAATGAGAACCAGGGAATCTTTCTGGGGGGTAAAAGGCGGCCGGCGCGTACGGCTGACAACCTTACCGCCATCTGTGAACCGATTGCATAGAAAATGTGGGATCCTCGACGTCTCAATTCCCTATGGGCCTCCATGGGAACCACACCAAAGATTTCAACAAACACACACAACACTTCTTCGGTAAGGTCGCGTGCTCAGGTTATGACGTATTATCAAAGAAGTTTTAGGCAGATAACGCGCAACCTGAATCAACAAATCATTTCCTTGAGCATGCAGGATGGTGAGCATACTTATGCAGATAACGCGCAACCTGAATCAACAAATCATTTCCTTGAGCATGCAGGATGGTGAGCATACTTATGCAGATAACGCGCATCCTGAATCAACAAATCATTTCCTTGCACATGCAGGACGGTGAGCATACTTATGCAGATAACGCACAACCTGAATCAACAAATAATTTCCTTGAGCATGCAGGATGGTGAGCATACTTATGCAGATAACGCGCATCCTGAATCAACAAATCATTTCCTTGCACGTGCAGGATGGTGAGCATACTTAGGCAGATAACGCGCATCCTGAATCAACAAATCATTTCCTTGCACATGCAGGACGGTGAGCATACTTATGCAGATAACGCGCAACCTGAATCAACAAATAATTTCCTTCGCATGAAGGATGGTGAGCATACTTAGGCAGATAATGTTCAACGTGAATCAACAAATCATTTCCTTCGCATGAAGGACGGTGAGCATACTTATGCAGATAACGCGCAACCTGAATCAACAAATAATTTCCTTCGCATGAAGGATGGTGAGCATACTTAGGCCCTCGGAATATTCACGGCACAAGCCGAATGGCTTGGTATGTGCCACCGTTTCTTTCTCCTGTGACTTTCCATGCAGTGCTCGATAGAGTTAACGCGCAGGAATATTTCGAGGGAATTAATGTTGGAGCTCATAAGGCGGAAGATTGAGAATAAAGCGAGGCACGCGGAAATCAATTACCGCAGCCACATAGATCATTTTAGCAGAAGATGAGAGCTGCAACTGGAGACTGGAACTCTGCACCCCAACCGTGAGAGACATCATCTGTGCTCGTGGAACTTGGCACATGAAAGTCAAACAAGAAACTGTTCCGTGACAGCGTCTCCCAATGCACCACTCTAGACCCTACTCTGGGAACAGTTCTGCAAAGGTTAACGGAAACTTCTGGGCCAGTGAGGAGATTCTTACATACGCGCTGGTTCCATAGTAGTAATAAAGATAAGATTAATAATAAATTAACTAATTTCATTTAGTAAAGTGCTCGACAACAGCAATATAGCTAAAGACTGAAAATAACTAGACAAGCAATAAAATATCCACTTCTAAGAAACAGAACCATAATAAACTGTTACAACAGAAAAGCTATAAGTTAAGTTAGGGATTCTGATACTTCGAGATTGCGCCCCTTAAAATAATAAGTCCACATGGCACCTCAACTCTACTGGCCAACAAATGTGCAGTTCTGCACATGTTGCAGGTCCCTATCAGACTGTACGGTGACAGCAGGAACCTAAGTAGCTTTACAGCCTCTCTACACCTATAGTAAGCTATAAAATGTTCCTGTACAGTCACGAAAAGTGCAGTTCTGCACACTGTTGCAGGTCCCTATCAGGCTGTACGGTGACAGCAGGAACCTAAATAGCTTTACAGCCTCTCTACACCTACAGTAAGCTATAAAATGTTCCTGTACAGTCACGAAAAGTGCAGTTCTGCACACTGTTGCAGGTCCCTATCAGGCTGTACGGTGACAGCAGGAACCTAAATAGCTTTACAGCCTCTCTACACCTACAGTAAGCTATAAAATGTTCGTGTACAGTCACGAAAAGTGCAGTTCTGCACACTGTTGCAGGTCCCTATCAGACTGTAC